ATTGGAGGCATGCTTAACCATGAGCATAGGCTTCTCCTTCCCTTCCTAAATTAAGAATTTGAATCTAAAAATGATTTAGACAGTGAAGTTCACATTGTGCAACAACTCTATCCCCACCTAGCGCAAATTATAGTAGACCCATACAGACTAAACATCAAGCGCTAGAGATATAATACGTAAGTCAATTATAAAGTCCTCCACTATGTATATTACCGATGAGACACATGTTGGGGTGGTCTTGCTGTCATCTATTCTCTGCTTTAGTGATTCCAATAAACTGTGAATATCCATTTCTTCAGCATCAGAACCACCTGCAAACATAGTAGAGAAAACATGTAAGAAAAGTCCATTCCAATGAATCAAGTACAGTATTTCTTTATTTCTTTTTCGGTTCCAACCATCATTTCTAGTTCTGGTTCATATGACATTCTGCAATAACACAATTCATGCAACTATACTCACCATTTACACTTCTTTCTAGCATTATACACCCATCTTCACCCAATGTCACAATCACAAATTTTAAGTTTGGCAATCTCAAAAGCATGGAAATAAGTGCACTTGGGACAGATGGAGCCTCTGACCATGCCTGTTTCATTGGAAGTTCATAACACGTGCCACAAAAATCAAACGAGTTAAAAGATTTCAGCAGTGATGCACAAGTATATCATCTTTGTACCTAAAAATTAAAGTACCAGGCCAAAACCAATTATTGAACAGATTTAAGTGATAACAGAGAAAGATGTTTGCAAAGATATGGGTAGAAGACGTCACTTGTAAAAGATTATGGAAAAAGGATCCTTTGGCAGTTGAACAAGAATTGTAGGACACTTCCTTTATTTATTAAAGCATTTATTTTGACAAACATTTGCAAAACTAAGCTTCTTTTCAACATTAATGGAAACTACACAGCCAACTATTTGAACAGATATTATGCCCAACACAACTATGACAGAAGTGAGCAAAAGAAAATAAGCCAAGCATGGATATTTTCAAGCAGAAGCTGCAAGGTTGAT